TGCGAAATGTTGCTTTTTGGAAGTGGAATTGTTAAACTCCCTTTGGGAACAGTGTTGTATTGTCTATACTTGCTCAGTGGTTAGGAGGAGGTGGGAGGGAAAGAATTGCAAATGGTAATGTGCTAGTGTGTGCATACTTGGACATTTTCAGACAAAACCATTTTTTATAATATGCATTTTGTTTTTCTGTGTATATTGTGTACATAATGGACAAATGAGTCGTAATTTTGCAACATCTAGTCTTTAGATGTTAAAAGAGGTTGCCAGTGTATGACAAAGTAGTTAGTAAAACTAGTATACTTTGTACACTTTATGTTGAAATTCATGGGAAAGCTTGTCTTCTGTAAATGGTTTTTGGAAATGAATTTGTTCAACCACCCCTAGGCATTACTCATGCCTGTACTTGTCCACTGGATTGGTGATGGAGAGGGGGAGGTGGGCGAGGGAATGGTTCCGGCCAAAATGGTCATATTTAGAAGATAGCTCAGATTATAACTGTTGTGACATGTGCAATTTTATTTAACAGGGCTGTGTACATGGTGGACAAGTAAGTTCTTATATGAAATATCTAGTCTTTCTAGATATTTAGAAGTGTTTGGTGTATTTAAAAATAGAAGTAAATAAAGTAACACTTCTTGTAAATAGCTTTTAAAAACAGATGGGAAATGTTGTCTTTGGAAATGGAATTGTTAAAGCACCTATCTGAACAGTTTACTCTGTACTTGTTCATTGGGTCGAGGGAGGTGGGAGGGAAGAACTTGCAAAGGATGTTTTGCTACTGTGTACTGGAAAATTTCAGCTTATCCATTGCCCTATGTTATGTGCATTTCGTTTAACTTTACTGTATATATTGTGTATATACTGGACAAAAGGGTCCTAATTCTATAATAACTAGTCTCCAGATATTCAAGAGGTTGCCACTGTATGACAAAAGTAGAGTTAGTAAACTAACACATTTTGTACCCAAAAAATGACTATAATAATAATAATGAATATATAATATTAAATCCAGCCTGGATTATATTCATCTTTGTATGGATGAAGTTGTAAAATATAGTTTTTAATACTTGTTGATGCAAGTAATCAATAATCGTCCTATAATAAGACAGAGGTTTTATTTGAGGCAAACGGAACACTAGCTGGGAAGTGCAGTCTTCTCCAAGGAAGGAAGCACTCGGAGCAGCAGGGTTTTTAGCACAGTGCAGACCATTTCAGAACAGAGAACACACATCAAGGATGACAGGGATGCATTTTCTTTTTCTCAAGGTCTCAAGACATATTTTGTTTACAGATTAGCACGTACACAGCAGGTCAACATGAGCCTGTTGCCCTGGGAAGGGAGATCCATCTGGCATCGCAAGAAGGGAGGCGTTAACTTTTATCTTCAAAGAGCACATTCTTTACTGTAGGGCAGTGATTGAATGCATCCTTTCCTTAAGGGTGAAAGGAGATGTACAGCGTATGATTGACAGGCCATAAGTCAGGCTTCCTTAGTTCACATAATGTTCAGGCCAAATCAGGTATGACCAGAATGGCTTCCCCATACAGCTTAATATGCAAAAATTTCTTAGCATATTTTTTTGTGCATGAAGGGGCTTGTGCAGGTAAAAGTGCCTGGAGGCCATGATGGTCACAATGCAGCCTGTATCTCTCCTGCCACCATCCTGTGTTGCTTTGGCTGGGGACAACACACAGGCGAAGTAGAACATAGAAGAACTGGGGCTGCTGGTAGGACACTAGGAATCAGGGCAGCCCCTCACATTTGGACTGAGGCAAGAGACCCATGGAGACCGGGGGACAGGTCTTTTGGGATCAGACTGGCATGGGCTTCGCTCAATCAGAACAGAGGACGTCTGGAGGATCCCCCGCCCTGCCATGCCAGCTGCTTCTAGCAGCCAGATGGGAGAGGGCTGGTGGAGAGGGGCGTCTGGCCCATGGCCACTTTTGTACTCTCAGGAAGTCCGGTCTGTGTGGATGTGCTGCATCCTCCTCTGATGGAGATTCCCCGTGTCTCTCTCAGTCTCTACTCTGACAGAGTGACCCTCACTAACTAGTGTCTCCTTTGAGTCCCTCATCCTCTCTGATTCAGATTCAGCCCCTCAGGAGGTCCTTTGCCTTCCTCATCCAACCAAAGCATTAGGCAAATCCCTTGAAGTAGTCTGCGTTGTTCCCCAGTTTACAGATAGGGAACATGACATCCCCTCATCAGTCAGTCACTCTCCACAGCTGCAGGCAGAGGGAATGTAACCCCCAGGCATCTCCTGGGGAGGCTGTGAGGGGGGCAGCTGTGAGCCATTAGCGGTGGACATGACATTCCACATACAAAAGACTGGGCGATGGGAGCAGCAGCCCAGGGAGGGGATCTGGGCAGGGCACTAACAGCATCTACTACAATAGTCCTTCTCCCCAGGCCCCACCCAGGGACCAACATCCCAGAAGCACTTCAGAACCAATGTGTTCAAAACTGAACTTGTCATCTCCCCACACTCATCTCATACCTGCCCCAGGAATCTGAATAGCCCATGTCATTCTCTCAGGAAGCGCCACCATTGTGAGGCTCCCCAGGGAACCAACCTGCCTCATCCTCTCTGCCATGACTCCATCCCAGTCAGCCCCACCCTCTGTCAGCCCCTGGGCCAACCCTCCTTCCACTCTCTCTTCCCTCTCTGCTCTTGGCCACTGCCCTGGGGGGACATGTCCTTGCTGGTCTCCCTCACCATTCACCCTGCTAAACACACACACACACACACACACACACACACACACTGAAGCCAGGGTGATCTGGCTAAGATGGACGCAGGATCCGATCTCCCCGTGCTAAAACCATCACTTACTCCTTTCTGCTCTTCAGGACCTGGGCCTACCTCTGCACTCAACCCTGACCCCCACCCCCTTGCATGCCTGCCTTGAGCACTGAGCAGAGTGTCACTCCTCACTCCTATCATGCCTGTCACTGTGCCTTTAACTAAGGTGTCCTCTCCCTAGATCACCCTCCATTCCCCCATGCTAGACTGGGGTCCCCTCTTTTTGCATTCTCATAACACTGTGGGCACCACTTGCCCATAGAACTCACCATCCAGAGCTTTACTGCCAAGGAGAATTGACAAGCCAAGGGTGCTGGGGCCTGATGCTCCAATGCCAGCCATGGAACGGTCTAATATTTGTTCTATCATGGCTAAGACTGTCTCATTGTTGAACAGCAGGCCCACCTGCCGACCAATCATTTTAGAGGGCACTGACAAGGCCTGCCAACCTCCCTGCCAGTGGCCAGTTACACTCCCTGATGAAGGGCTGAGATGGAAAAAATGTAAGCATATGTTCCATTCTGGCATCAATGGTCGTGTATGCATGTTGATGGCCTGGTACATGGCAAGGGAAATCAGCCCGACGTCCTGTAGAATATCAAAGCTCAATGTAGGGCTGGGGAATAGGAGGGTTGCCATGGTAGTAGGACGGGCAATCTTGGAAGGAAATTGGAAGTGGATGTAAGCACAGGCCGATACCAACCTGACGAGTGATACCTCTCTCAGTTTGGGCAGAAATGTGCCAGCTTTGGGGGGCTGTTTTGTAGTGTTTGCTGATTTTCAAGGTGTAAATATTCCTCTCATGTTCAATTTCAAACTTCCAAAAATTTAACTACCACCCCAAAGAGATCCTGAAAACAGAACAATTTAACCTGGGAAGCCAGTATCCTCTGGCACTGACACAACACCGCCCCCTGGGTTCCTGATGATGAAGAGTGAGAAGCATCTTAGGTTTCTCGAACCTGCCTGAAATCAGCTGCACCAGCTCACCAAGAAGAAGCAAGCACGACAGACAACAGAGTAAACGGGACGTGAGTCCTGCCCTCTGTCCCACTCAGAGAGGGGTGTCTCCGTCCTACTTTAGGTTGACCCAGCAGCAGCCCGCAGACAAGGATTCAAGTGGAAGTAGTTACTTGGGAGGTGATCACAGAAAGCACCAGCAGGAGCGTGGAGAAGTGAGACAGGGCAGGAACAGAGGTCAGAAGAGGACGTGTTCACGGACAGGTCCTTGCTGTGGGCAAGAGGGGCACGACCCAGCTGGGGACCTCTGGGAGATGTGTTACACAGCTGGGAGATGTGTAACACATCTTGGAGTGGGTCCACCCCAGGAGTGAGGAAGGGAAGATATTTTTCTACCAACTCTGACCTATTGTTGGTTGAGGCTGCTCCCTGGAGCACCAACTCCCCAGTACTTCCAGTCTGTCCCACTGCAAAGAGCCACAGGTGCTTCTAGTGAGCTACAGATGGTGAGTGGGCAGGACATGGACAGTGTCTGAAATGCACAGTGTGACAGAGATGTGACCTGTGTGTCACTCTGCACGTCTCTCCTTACCAGAGCTCTTAATCCCACCGAGCAGGATTCTTCTTTTTAGAGGTACAAAATTTGTGTACCAATCAATCCCTAAACACAAGCCCACAACTTAAATCTGCTACCAAGCGAAAGAAACAGTGATATGTCTCAATGCCAGAGGAAAAGCCAGGAGTGGTGGGCTTTTCCAGAATTATTATTTTCACTGAAATTGGGTCTTTATGCACATTGTACCAGCAGGCTGAGCTTAGAACCCAGTCAGCCACAAGACTGCTTGGCATCTCTATGAGTGTTTAACAAAATGCCTGGCTGCACCCTCGACTGTCACCTCCATGTGAGCAGGACCAGCTCTGCAGCATCCCCACCACCCCTGCACACACAAGGGATTGCACGTCCCACTGAATGTTCAAGATGGGGGTGGGAGTTACATGAAGGACATAGAGAGGGAGCCTGATAATGGAGGAGCTGTCCTGTACTCTTGGCCCTGCTGCCTCGCCCCATGCCCTCCTGGATGGAAGAGCTGCCCCCACCCATCCCTGTGTTTTGTGCAAGCACGCTAACACACACACAGGCACAGACATACACACACACAGGGCCTCCCAGAGTTAAAGACTCAGTTGGTCGTAGTAAGTGGGAGAAGGCAAGACAAGTGAAATTGAAGTCTGGAGGAAGTTGCTTCAACAAGAATTTATTTTTCAGGGTCCAGAAGCCCAGCCAGAACAAGCAGACCCTAGGACCCTAGAAAGAACCTACATCAGGGAAAAGGGAGTTGGTCACGAAATCTCCTAAGCTGTTCAAGAAACTCCTGGAAAGATAAGGGAAACCAGTGCCGTCTCTTGATAGGCTGAGGCTGTGAACCAAGAGGAAACAGGATCCTTGTGAGGGCTGGGCCCAGAGTCAAGACAAGACCCCTCTCGACTTAGACACCCCATTACTGAGGCACTCCAAGAGACTTGAGCCCCAGTTCACCTCTGGCTCTGAGCTTAGGAGCATTTGGTTGAATCCCTATATCCACAAACAAGTGAGGAAACTGAGGCCCGGAGATGACAAGGGGCTTCCCAGGGTCACACAGCCCATCCAGCAAAGTGGGACAGGAGCGTGGGCTGAAAGCTCATTACTCTAAGTCAGTAGCTCTCAAATTTCAGCAGGAGTCAGAATCCCTGGGGGGCTTGTTAAACTAAAAATTGCCTGGGGCTCCACCCCAGAGTCTGATTCAGTAAGTCTGGTGGGGGCTGAGAATTTGCCATTCTGACAATCTCCCAGGTGAGGACCACATTTTGAGAACCGCTACTCTAAGGAATTTCAGAGTCAGTCCTGAGACCTGGGGCTCAGGTTGAGGCAGGAGCCCAGGGTAGGAGGGGCTTTCTCTGCCCTGGATGGGGCAGTGGGTAATTGGTACATAGGATGTTCCACGCAGCACCTCCCCACCAGGAGTTGCAACCCAGAATGGATCACTCACCTTATCACAGCTGATGTCGAAGTAGTCCTTGGCCGGGTCCAAGACAACTGTCCCCACACACTGTTTCACCAGCTGCGAAGGGGAGGCTTCAAGTCAAACTGGAACCCCCATGCCGTAACCTCACAGCCTCACCCCAGTGGATAGAAATATTCCCCAGAGGCTTCTGGGTCAGCTCCCTAGGAGGCATCAGCCAGCGCCCCCACACTCCAGCCCCCAACCTCACCCCATTCTCCTTGAAGTCACACTCCTCCAGTGGCTGCTGTGTTGTCCTGGGGCACACAGTCTCCTTCACCGTGAAGCTCACAGGCTTTGGGGTATCTGGGTCCTCGTCCTGGTCAAAGGAGAAAGTGGGGAGGCCAGGCTTGAGCCCATGCTTGCCATCTCTGACCTGTCTGCCATCCCTCACCAAAAGTGCAGCCTTTCAACAGCCCGTAGTGTGTGCCTGGCAATGGGCATGGTGCTGGGGTACAGAGGGGAGGAGGACAGGGCCCATTCCTGCCCTTGGCAGGCAAACAGAGAGCCCAAGTGGACCTCAGACAAGCTCTGACGAGGAGCACCTCCCCATCTGAGGGGGCTGAGGGAAATCAGGGTGGTCCTAGAGGAAAAGACATTGTCACCGGAACCTTAAGGCTGAGCAGAGCCCTTCCCTGTGTGGGAGACAACAGAGTGCAGAGTAGACATAAAGCAGAGGAGTCCCAATCTGGATCCAAAGACCCCTCATGTCCCTGGAGCTCCCAGAAGTCACTGAAGCCTGAATGTGGTTGTGAGTGGGGGGACCTCTTCCCACAGTAGAGATAAGACCGGAAGCTCTCATGCTGAGAGGGGACACAGCTCTGGGAAGGTTTCCTGAGATGTGGGACCACACTTAAAGGGAGAAGTGCCTTCCTGACAGGAGGGACAGCCTGAGCAAAGGGAGAGACAGTGTGGCCAGAGCAGACTTTCCCTCCCCACCGCCCCCTCCCAGACTCACTTCCTTGGGCAGCGGGTCCAGCTCCAGGAGGCGGTAGAGATTCTCATCTGAGGACCGCTGGTTGAGGCCATCCACGGCACGGAGTACGGCCTCCTTGTAGCTGAGGGTCTGAGTGGTGGCCAGAGGGATCACCAGGCCCAGTAGCAGTAGCAACAGTGACCATCTACCCAGGGAACAACTGTCCCTCTGGGTCTCCATGGTCCCCAAGTCTGCCTCCTCCCAGCCTGCAGGACCCTCCTTTATGCCCAGCCTGGGGATGACGCAAAGGCCCAACCAGGATGCTTCTTGACCAACCTCATCACTGGCCTCCTGCCAGGATGTGGCCTGGGTTTCCCTCATTCCCTGCTGTTGCGTCATGGGGCTTGCTGGACAGTGGGCGAGGTCTACCTTATGTGCAAGTGAAGAAATGTTTCCTCCATCTCTTTGACAAGGTCTTGGCCTCTCCTGGGCCCCACCAGGGAGCGTCACAGCCAGGGTTGCTTAAGAGAGTTGAGTCCTGCATGAGAGGAAGGGAGCCAGGTGCTTATCCTACATCCTTCTCCCTGCAACAGCCCTGGGTCTTCTGAGGAATCAGGGTAGTATAGTGTGTTCACCACTGCATCTCCACCTCTAGGCACTGCTGGGCACGCAGCAGGCACTCAGTTCGTAGTTGATGAATGAATAACAGTAACCCACCCACCCCCTTCTCTAGAGCCTCACCCACCCAGCCAGTCCCAAGGGAGACTTTCAAGGCCACACCATCCTGTCTCTGGACCCAGCCCTCAGCTAGTTCAGGGGCTCAGCACCATCTGTCCCCTCTCCTGGATTCTGCTCTACTGCCTTTCTCAGTCTAAAAATGTCCCAAGTCCCCACCAGACATGGCCTGTTGCCCTGGCCCCTCCTCAACTGAGCCTGAAGAAGGGTCATCTACACTCATTGACCCACTTCTTCACTCTCTCACTCAAGGCCACTGCAGGCGTGTCTGCCCTCATTGGATCCAGTGGCCACTCTCAAGTTTTACCTTTATCTGTGTAGGTTCTGGTGACTCTTCTCTCCTCCTGAAACTGCCCCCTGCACCATTCTCTCCTGAAGCCACTCTCCTGATTTCCCTCCTGCCTCCCTGGTGGCTCCTTCTCCATCTCCTCCAAGGACACTCCCCTTGATAAGGAGGGCTGCATATATGACAAACCCACAGCCGACATCATACTTAACTGTGAAAAACTGAAAGCCATTCCCCTGAGAACAGGAACAAATCAAGGGTGCCCACTCTCACCACTCCTATTCAACATAGTACTTGAGGTTTTGGCCAGAGCAATTAGGCAAGAAAAAGAAATAAAAGTATCTAAATTGGAAAGGAAGAAGTAAAACTCTCACTGTTTTCAGATGATATGATGCCATACAGAGAGAAATTATATGATTCTATATATAGAGAAAACCCTAAGGAATCCACCAGAAAGCTATTAGAAATAATCAAGAACTACAGCAAAATGGCAGGGTACAAAATCAACTTACAAAAATCAGTTGCATTTCTATACACTAATAATGAACTAGCAGAAATGTAATCCTATTTACAATCACAACAAAAAGAATAAAATACCTAGGAATAAATTTACTCAAAGAGGTGAAAGACATATACACTGAAATCTATAAGACATTATTGAAAGAAATCGAAGAAGACATAAAGAAATGGAAAGATGTCCCACGCTCATGGATTGGAAGAATAATCGTAGTTAAAGTGTCCTTGTTACCTAAAGCAATCTACAGATTCAGTGCAATGTCGATCAGAATCCCATTGACATTCTTCATGAAGATAGAACAAAGAACCCTAAAATTTATATGGAACAACAAAAGACCTCGAATAGCCAAAGCAATACAGAGAAAAAAGAACAAAGCCAGAGGCATCACAATCCCTGAACTTCAAAATATTCTACAAAGATGTAGTAATCAAAACAGCATGGTACTGGCACAAAAACAGACACACAGATCAATGGAACAGAATTGAAAGCCCGAAATAAAACCACACATCTATGCACAGCTAATCTTTTTTTTTTTTTAAAGATTTTATTTTTTCCCTTTGTCTCCCCAAAGCCCCCCAGTACATAGTGGCATATTCTTTGTTGTGGGTCCTTCTAGTTGTGGCATGTGGGATGCTGCCTCAGTGTGGTCTAATGAGCAGTACTATATCCGCGCCCAGGATTCAAACCGACGAAACACTGGGCTGCCTGCAGCAGAGCGCATGAACTTAACCACTCAGCCACGGGGCCAGCCCCTATGCACAGCTAATCTTTGACAAAGCAGCCAAGAACATATAGGGGGAGAAAGGACATTCTCTTCAATAAATGGTACTGGGAAAATTGGACAGCCACATGGAAAAGAAGGAAAGTAGACCATTAGCTTACACCATACACAAAAATTAACCCAAAATGGATTAAAAACTTCAATGTAAAACCTGAAACCATAAAACTCCTAGAAAAAAATATAGGCAGTACACTCTTTGACATTGGTTTTAGCAGCACCTTTTCAAATACCATGTCTACACAGGCAAAGGAAACAAAAGAAAAAATAAATAAATGGGATTACATCAGGCTAAAAAGCTTCTGCAAGGCAAAGTAAATCATAAACAAAAAGAAAAGACAATCCACCAACTGGGATAACACATTTACAAATCATATATCCAACAAGAGGTTAATTTCCAAAATATATAAAGAACTCATACAATTCGACAACAAAAAGACCAACAAGCTGATCAAACAATGGGCAGAAGATATAAACAGACATTTTTCCAAAGAAGACATACAGATGGCCAACAGGCATATGAAAATATGTTCAACATCACTAATTATTAGGGAAATGCACACTAAAACTACAATGAGATATCACCTCACACCTGTCAGATGGCCATAATTAACAAGAAAAGAAATAACAAATGTTGGAGAGGACGTGGAGAAAAGGGAACCCTCATACACTGCTGGCAGGAATGCAAACTGGTGCAGCCACTATGGAAAACAGTATGGAGATTTCTCAAAAAATTAAAAATAGAAATAGCATATAATCCAGCTATCCCACTGCTGGGTATTTATCCAAAGAACATGAAATCAAAAATACAAAGATATCTATGCACCCCTATGTTCACTGCAACATTATTCACAACAGCCAAGACGTGGAAGCAACCCAAGTCCCCATCAACGGATGATTAGATAAAGAAAATCTGATATATATATACACAATGGAATACTACTCAGCCGTAAAAACAGATTAAATCGTCCCATTTGCAACAACATGGATGGACCTTGAGAGTATGATGTTAAGTGAAATAGGCCAGACAGAGAAAGACGAACACCATATGATTTCACTCATATATGGAGGATAAACACATGGATAAAGAGAACAGATTAGTGGCTACCAGAGGGCAAGGGGGTGGGAGGGTGGACAAAAGGGTTAAACGGGCACATCTGTATGGTGACAGATGAAAGCTAGACTGTTAGTGGTGAGCCTGCCGCAGTCTATACAGAAACTGATACATGACAACGTACACCGGAAATTACACAATGTTATAAACCAATACGAAGATTACACAATGTTATAAACCAATAGGACCTCAGTAAAATTAACATTAAAATATAAATATGAGAAGAAAAAAAAGAACATGTGAGGAGAGCTGCAGACTCGCATCCCAGGCTGCTTCTCCTCCCAGTCCTCGCATCTCCCTGGGACCCCAGTTATCGTGATCAGACCTCTCCTGCTCTGTGCCTCTGAGTTCAAGTCCCCCATGAATACCCATGGCTGTCCCCACGGGGCCCCCTGGCCTGCTGTGCTGCTGGGTGCTGCTGCATGGGCCCTGAGCTCACAGCCTGGGGAGCACCCACCTGCTCCTACTTCCTCCTGGGGACTCACCCCCTGACCTCCCCCAGCGCCCCTGCCCTGGTTCCTACCACCATCTTCTCTCCTCTGAAGTGCGGACACTGCCTCCAGACTCCACGTTTCCAGGTTCCAGGACCCCCCAGACCACAGTCACTCTCCACGCCATTGTCCAGGGGCTCCTCCAAACAGCTGATTTGGCCATTTCACTCCCTGCCTTCAGGAGCCCACACTGCCTGGGCCTGGTCTCAGAGCCTGGATGTTACTGCTCCCCATTGCCCTCACCCAGACCCTGCTCATCCCAGGCGCCAGGCTGCCACACACACCAACCCTCAGCCTCCTCTGAGCCTCCTGCTCTTTCCCCCACCTCTGCACCTGATCCCTCGCTTGGCATGCCTTCCAGCCTGTGAAGACTCCCCTGACCTCCCACCAGACACAGCAACCTCCTTCTTTGCTCCCACAGCCTCCACTGAGTCTCCCCTGATTTGACCCCAGCGACTCCCTGTCCAGTGCTCTGATTGAGACACCAAACTGGGGTGGCTGATGCTGGCAGGTGGAGAGAGCACAGCTGGGAGAGATGATGAGGCAAAGTGATAGAGGGGCCCAGGGCCCTGAGGTAACGTCTAGTCCCAGCTCTCCTGTGGAATGGCTGCAAGGCTAAAAGGCCTAGTGTGGCTCCTGGCTTCAGTTGGCCTGTGGGACTCTTGGGGGCTTGGAAGGGGCACATGGGATGGTGGCAACTGGGATGAAAGCCGCTGGTTGCCCACTCAGCCTCGGGAGAAGGAAGGAGAAATGGGCTTCTGTGCATCCTGGTTTCACAGTCCAGGTATTGCCCCAGTGGCCTCTTGGTCAAGCAGAGCTTGCACATCAGGGACTTTCATAGTGGTTGGGAGAAGTGTTGTCCCAATATCGGACCCCTCAGGGCTCTTGTGGCTCCCTCACCTTCTTTGCTTCGGGGTGCACAAGGAGCCAAACTGGGTATAAGTGGGTATGAATGTTAGTCCTTAGACTGTGGCATGAGCCCGGCCCAGTCCCGCCTTCCTCTAGGTCAGATCCAGCACACTCAGAGATCCTGCCCGACTGGCTGAAGGGGACATTCCGCCTAGGCCAATAGCGGACACTCCTCTCACTTGGAATCGGCCTGAGCCCAAGGGCTTCCACAGGTCCTCTGATGTAAGTCCGAAGTCTGCCTCCAGGGGCACTCATCTTCCTTCTCTGGGCCACAGCACAGGGTCCAGGCTTCCCAGGTTCCAGGAGTGAGCCCTGTCCCTGGCCGAGTACCTGTGAGTGGGTGTCCACCTTGTGAGGAGGGAGGTGGACTCAGACCCTCAGAACCCAGGGCTGCACCTCTGCTGGGGAGG